TGCCCAAAATGTTTGGTTGAGCGGGTTGACCTTGATCGAGGGTTGCAGGCACACATGTTCCAAGGTCCAGTACTATGTGCTATGGGATGCACTAAAGCATGGGGCAGCTGTCACCAAAGCGCAGTGGGGAAAGACCACTGAAATATGAAGGTATAAAAATCAAAAGAACTGCAGATGCTGTAAATCAGGAACAAAAACAGAAGTTGCTGGAAAAGCTCAGCAGGTCTGGCAGCATCTGTGGAGAGAAATCAAGAGTTAACAAAGAACAAAGAAAATTACAGCACAGGAACAGGCCCTTCGGCCCTCCAAGCCTGCGCATATCCAGATCCTCTATCTAAACCTGTCGCCTATTTTCCAAGGATCTGTATCCCTCTGCTCCCTGCCCATTCATGTATCTGTCTAGATACATCTTAAATGACGCTATCGTGCCCGTCTCTACCACCTCCGCTGGCAACGCGTTCCAGGCACCCACCACCCTCTGCGTAAAGAACTTTTCACGCATATCTCCCTTAAACTTTTCCCCTCTCACCTGGAAATCGTGACCCCTAGTAATTGAGTCCCCCACTCTGGGGAAAAGCTTCTTGCTATCCACCCTGTCTATACCTCTCATGATTTTGTAGACCTCAATCAGGTCCCCCCTCAGCCTTCGTCTTTCTAATGTAAATAATCCTAATCTACTTAACCTCTCTTCATAGCTACTGCCCTCCATACCAGGCAACATCCTGGTGAACCTCCTCTGCACCCTCTCCAAAGCATCCGCATCCTTTTGGTAATGTGGTGACCAGAACTGTACGCAGTATTCCAAATGTGGTCGAACCAAAGTCCTACACAACTGCAACATGACCTGCCAACTCTTGTACTCAATACCCCGTCTGATGAATAAAAGCATGCCGTATGCCTTCTTGACCACTCTATCGACCTGCGTAGCGACCTTCAGGGTACAATGGACCTGAACACCCAGATCTCTCTGTGCATCAATTTTCCCCAGGGCTTTTCCATTTACCGCATAGTTCGCTCTTGAATTGGATCTTCCAAAATGCATCACCTTGCATTTGCCTGGATTGAACTCCAATTGCCATTTCTCCGCCCAACTCTCCAATCTATCTATATTCTGCTGCATTCTCCGACAGTCTCCTTCACTATCTGCTACTCCACCAATCTTAGTGTCATCTGCAAACTTGCTAATCAGACCATCTATACCTTCCTCCAGATCATTTATGTATATCACAAACAACACTGGTCCCAACATAGATCCCTGTGGAACACCACTGGTCACAGTTCTCCATTTTGAGAAACTCCCTTCCGCTACAACTCTCTGTCTCCTGTTGCCCAGCCAGTTCTCTATCCATCTACTAGTACATCCTGGACCTCATGTGACTTCACTTTCTCCATTAGCCTACCATGGGGAACCTTATCAAACGCCTTACTGAAGTCCATGTATATAACATCTACAGCCTTTCCCTCATCTATCAACTTTGTCACTTCCTCAAAGAATTCTATCAAGTTGGTAAGACATGACCTTCCCTGCACAAAACCATGCTGCCTATCACTAATAAGCCCATTTTCTTCCAAATGTAAATAGATCCTATCCCTCAGTATCTTCTCCAGCAGCTTCCCCACCACTGACGTCAGGCTCACCGGTCTATAATTACCTGGATTATCCTTGCTACCCTTCTTAAACAAGGGGACAACATTAGCAATTCTCCAGCCCTCCGGGACCTCACCCATGCTCAAGGATGCTGCAAAGATATCTGTTAAGACCCCAGCTATTTCCTCTCTCGCTTCCCCCAGTAACCTGGGATAGATCCCATCCGGACCTGGGGACTTGTCCACCCTAATAGAATACCCAACACTTCCCCCCGCTCCTTATGCCAACTTGACCTAGAGCAATCAAACATCTATCCCTAACCTCAACATCCGTCATTTCCCTCTCCTCAGTGAATACTGACGCAAAGTACTCATTAAGAATCTCACTCATTTTCTCTGACTCCTCACATAACTTCCCTCCTTTGTCCTAGAGTGGGCCAACCCTTTCTCTAGTTACCCTCTTGCTCCTTATGTATGAATAAAAGGCTTTGGGATTTTCCTCAACCCTGTTTGCTAAAGATATTTCATGACCCATTTTAGTCCTCTTAATTCCTCGTTTCAGATTGGTCCTACTTTACGTTTCAGTTAACGTTTCAGGTCCAGTGAACTTTCCTCAGAACTGTCCCAGTCACCGGACCCAAAACATTACCTCTGATTTCTTTTCACAGATGCTGCCAGCAACTTCTGTTTTTGTACAACGAGGCTATGTTTAGTTATCAGACCCTCTCTATGTCTCAAAATGTATTTAAATAGTGGCCTGCACGAGTAGGAAATGCCTTTGGCTTTTGGAACTGCAGGCGATGTCAACTTCCAATGTGAATCCATAGAATCCCTACAGTGTGGAAACAGGCCATTCGGCCCAACAAGTCCACACTGACTCATTCCCCCACCTTATCCCTGTAACTCTGCATTTCCCATGGCTAACGCACCTAACCACATCCCTGGACACCATGGGCAAATTAGAATGGCCAATCCACCAAACCAGCACATCTTTAGATTGTGGGAGAAATCCACACAGACACAGGGAGAACATGCAAATTCCATACAGACAGTGGCCCGAGGGTGGAATTGAACCTGGGCCCCTGGCACCGTGAGCCACTGTGCTGCCCCAAACTGTGTATAGAACCACTTTAGAATTTATGTATCTACATAAAAATGAATTTGTTATGAATGAAATATGAGATTATTGGCTTGCTCACTGAACTGGCTGGTTATTGTACAGACGTTTCATTACCATGCGAGGTAACATCATCAGTGCAGTGTCCAATGAAGTGATGTTGTTCTCCTCTGCTTGATATTTATATGATCTTATCTGTTAAGTTGGGTTGTGTCATTTGCGGTTCTGTTCTGCATGGGTTTGTATATGGGGTCTAATTCCACATGTTTGTTGATTGCATTACGATTGAAAACTAGGTCTCTAGGAATTCTCATGTGTGTCTGTGGTTGGCTTGAGCTAAGATGGTCACGTTGTCCCAAATAAATTGATGGCCTTCATTGTCCAAGTTCACTGAGATGAGGGAAAGTTCGTCGTGTCGTTTTATGCTAGCTGGTGTTCGTGTATCCTGATGGCTAGTTTCCGTCCGGTCTGGCCTATGTAATATTTGTTGCAAGGTATTTTGTAAAATATGTTGGTCCTACATGTCATGGGTACAGGGTCTTTGGTCCTTGTGAGTGTTTGTTGTACTATGGCTGTGGGTTTGTGTGCTACCATGATCTCTAGTGGGCACAAGAGTCCCATTGTCAGTTCTGATATGTTCTTGATATAGGGTAGTGCAGCCAGTGTTTTGGGGCATACTGTGTCCTCTTGGCATTGTCTATCTAGTAGGCACCTGTGGATGAAGTTGTTGGGATATCTGTTGTTAGCAAAGACCTTGTATATGTGTTCTTCCTCCTTCCTGTGTAGTTCTGGCATATTGCAGTGAGTAGTGGCCCATTTGAATAGTGTCCTAACGCAGCTTTGTTTGTGGACGTTGGGGTGATTGCTGTGGTAATTCAGGATTTTGTCAGTTTGGGTTGCTTTCCTGAGTACTGTGGTTTGGAACTCCCCGTTGGTCATTCGTTCTACCCTTACATCTAGAAATGGAAGTTGACTGTCGTCTTCTTCGTTTCTCGTAAATTTGATCCCAGTGAAAACGTTGTTAAAGAGTTTTTGTGTCTCTTCTAACTTGGTGCGTTAATGATGACAAACGTGTCGTCCACGTAACGGATCCACTGTTTTGGCTGTATGAGAGGGAGGGTAGTAGGTTCCAGTCTTTGCATGACTGCGTCTGCAATAAGTTCTGAGATGGGTGACCCCATAGCGTGCCATTGATTTGTTTATATATTTGGCCGCTAAAGATGAAGTGTGTGGTGAGGCATAGGTCCAGTAGTCTGAGTACGCTGTCCTCGCTGATGAAGCTGTTTGGAGTCGGCGTTTCTGCTCCATCCAGTAATGTGGCAAGTGTTTCTTTGGCTTGTCAATGTCAATGGACTTGAATAGTGCTGTGACGTCAAAGGATACCATAGTCTCATCATCGTTGATTTTAATGTTCTTGAGGTTGTTAAGGAATTCCTGAGTTGAGTGGATGGAGAGGGGTGATCCGTCAACTAGGTGTTTCAGTGTCTGTTGCAGGTCCTTGGCCAGTTTGTGTGTAGGTGTGCCTGGTAGGGAGACATGGGTCTGAAGGCAATTTAGCATGGCCAATCCACCTAACTGGCACATCTTTGGACTGTGGGAGGCTGTGCATTTCTGTGCTACCATGATTCCTGGTGGTCGCAGGAGTCTCTTTGCCAGTTCTGTTAAGCTCTTGATATAGGGTAGTGTGGCCAGTGTATTGGGGCGTACTGTGTCTTCTTGGCACAGAAATGGCACAACCCAACCTAACAGATCGGATCATAAACAACATCGCTTCATTGGAGGCTGCACTGATGATGTTACCTAGCATGGTGACGAGACGTCTGGACGACAACCAGGCAGCTCCGCCAGCAAGTCAACAACTTGACCCACAACCCGAGCTACAAATCTTCGCAAGAACCTTAAATAAAATATATTTTTGCAATAAAAACTGTGCTTTCTCTCCACACATGCTGCCAGACCTGCTGAGTTTCTCCAGCAATTTCTGCTTTGCTTTCGGATTTCCAACATCCGCCTTTCTATTTTTTAATTAGATGGTTGTTTACTATCGGAATATTACCTGCTTGATTTCGTTCGTATCTACCTCGCCTTGGGCTGAAGGCATTCCACTCTGACAGCAGGCGACTGCAAGTGGCGGGATGAGTCCTCCGGGCCAAAGGCGGCGCAGCGGCGGGATGAGTCCTCCGGGCCAAAGGCGGCGCTGCGGCGGGATGAGTCCTCCGGGCCAAAGGCGGCGCTGCGGCGGGATGAGTCCTCCGGGCCAAAGGGGGCGCTGCGAAAGACAGATATATGCAGTCAAAGCCGTTGTTGCCGCGGAATAGGAAGACATGGCCGGCGTGGTGGAAGAGTATGGAGCTCGTATGCAAGAGCAGGTTAGTCACTAGCTGGTCGAGACGGGGATATTAATTGGAGAATGAAACCGTCTTTCCTCTGTGCCGCTGGAAATGTAGGATTTTGTGTTTTTTTTGGGAGTTTCGTTTCCTTTCCCCACTCTCTCACCTCCTCACCGGTCCCAGGTAGTTAATCAATTTTTAAAGGTAAAACCTGTCTGTTCCCCCCTCAGGCACAGATTTTACTCTCTTAATCCAATCTTTCCCCCACACACATTCTGTGTCTAAATTTCTTTCTAATTCACTTTCTTTTTCTCAACTTCTGCCATCTCTCCACTTTCCCTTTCATTTAAGTTTCATAATCAGCGTTCTAACTGTCCTATTCATTATTTGATTTATTGTCACGTGTACTTAAGTACAGTAAAAAGCTTTGTTTGTGAGCAGAACAGGCAGATCATAGTAAGCAATGACATACAGAACATAGGGCGATGAAAGTATTCTCCTACTTTCACAATGACAGGCAGGTGACTTTTAGTTTCACTTACCAGTTTGTCAAGATCTGCAATGTCCTGTTGTCCTCGCTGTGTCTTTATTAACCTCCACTTATGGACGTTTTGCCCTGAAAACCTTTTTAGAAGAGCTTGAGGATCAGCAGCAAGCATTGAATCATCAGGCATTGCAACGGCATGCCACACTGGCACATTCTGAGCCTTTGCGAACAGCACATCTTATTATGCTGGGTAGTGACTATATTCTTTTAAAATGTTAGGCAGATTGGTGCTCAGTGTACTTTAATCTAAATTGGAATATTTTACGAAAGGAAGTCTCCCCTAAAGAACATTATTAAAGTTGTGCAATAAAGATCTCGTCATTTGGATTCATATATGTTCAAGGTTAAGATTACAGATCGGAAAGGACACTTAAATAATAGGAAAATAAAGTTCATTTTGTGTACAAGTAAAAATACGCAATATGAATGTGAACAATTGATAATGAATTTCCACTAGTTGCTGATTAAGGGCGTGGTTGGAATAATGTATGTAGTTCTTTCAAATATTGGGTGCCGACAGTAGTCAGCAGATATTTGTGGAGATAACCTCAGAAATAATTAGATTAGAATGGTGCACTGGTATTTCAGCTCGTGCTGCTCTTTGTCCACAGTTGTGAAATTTAGTGCAGAACTGTCCCTGATATAAATTTGCCATCTTATACTGAACAGGTATATTAGCCCCCAGATCTGTTTTAATTTATGAACAATCCCCGCACCACCTATTACTGCTACTTATTTGGACTGTATCTATCAGTTCCTGTACATTTTCTTTGTCCATTATATACTTGCATTTGCCTTCTACCTGTCAATCACTGTGTACAGCACAGGGTTCAAAATATGCAGGGGTGGCAGGCAACTTCAACTTCACAAATTATCCATGAAAAATCAAAGATACAGAAAAAAATTAAACCTGTTGAAAGAAAGGTCATTCCCTCTGAAATCCAGAAACACCTGTTGTTGGGAAGTTTTTCAGCCAGCCCTACAATTCTTGCCCTTGTGATGTGGTAACAATTTTAAACCCATGAGATCAATGTCAGAAAGATAAAACTTAGTTGGGTTTCTGCTCCGTGCGCTTTAATCCAAATTCAATGTGGCAGTATCTGGTGTTCAGCTCTCAGAATCATTTTACTCCCACAGCTGGGAGGTTGTGCTGCGTTGCTATTTAGAACATAGAACATGGAACTGTACAGCACAGCAACGGGTCCTTCAATCTACAGTGTTGTGCTGAACATGACACCAAATTCAACTGATCCCTTCTGCCTGCCCTTGGTCCATATTCCTTGCATATTCATATGCTTATCTAAAAGTCCCTTAAGAGCCCCTATCATACCTGCCTCCACTATCACCACTGGCAGTGCGTTCCACACTCCTACCACTCCCTGTGTAAAAACAACTTGCCCCTCACATCTCCTTTGAACTTTCACCTTAAATGTATGCCCCCTTATTTTAGACATTTCGATTCTGGGGAAAAGATTCTGACTGTCAACCCTGTCTATGCATCTCTTAATCTTATAGACTTCTATCAAGTCTCCGCTCAGCCTCTGCCGCTTCCAAGAAAACAGCCCACATTTTTCTAGCCTCTTCTTACAGATAAGACCCTCTAATCCAGGCAGAATCCTGGTAAATCTCTTCTGTACCCCCTGCAAAGCCTCCACAGCCTTCCTGTAATGTGGCGGCCAAAATTGAACAAAGTACTCTAAGTGTCGCCTAACCAAAGTCGCATAAAGCTGCAATATGACATCCTGACTCGTACAGAATTCCCCGATTTTTCAATTTTTCTGCGACTTTGTGCACTGCCTCCTCCCTCCGTCAGTCTAGGCTTTGTGTTGGATGGGTTTGCTCGTTTTGTTAGCCTTTAGCTGACATGTTTGCGTGTTGATGTTACATTTCCTGTTTTCCTGATTTTCAAGCCAAGATTTAATCTAACATGCAACCATTTCCGTCCATTAAATTTATATTAACCTTTTTAACCTATTCTTCAGCCAATGAGAACAATTTTTGATTTGCTCACACTTCTGAAATGGGTGTTGAAAGCACCAGGAGCAGTGAAAAACAAATCATTTAGTGTTAGAAATGAATTTTAAATATTTTCTTCAAATATAGAGATGAGTAACGAATATATATTTATAGAGTCATAGAATGCCTACAATGTAGAAGGAGACCATACAACCCATTGAGTTCCCACTGACGCTCCGAAGAGCATCCCACCCAGACCCAACCCTCTACCTGTCCTCGTAACCCCGTACTTACCATGACTAATCCAACTAGCCTACACATCCCTGGACACAGTGGGCAATTTACCATGGCCAACCCACCTAAGCTGCACATCTTTGGACTGTGGGAGGAAACTGGAACACCTGGAAGAAACCCCCACAGACATGGGCAGAATGTGCAAGCTCCACACAGACAGTCACCCAAGGCTGGAATCGAACACGGAACTCTGGTGTTGTGAAGCAGCAATGTGAATCGCAGTGCCAAAGTGTTTTAACTGTACACTACACAGAATAATGTATTGCCTATTCCATTGCTAGCAATATCAGAGCAAATAATGCTGCAGAACAAAGTTGACGTGCTTGTGATGGCAGTCTAGTATACCTAAAGCCCACCACTCATTTGTTTGATTTTGACTATGTGCTTGCCTAGAATATTTACTACGTATTCATTATTTTTCTCGCTTTTTGATTTATTAATTGGTTTACTGCACAGTAAATGCCATGAAATGTGTTCAGAGTAGTTATATTTAATGGAACAAACTGATAACTGGTGGATTCATTTATTTAATTACTAATGTGCTCATGAAACCTAGTGAAATGAATTAGATATGTTTGTTTATTAAATTCCTCATTGATCACGTCCACCCAAAATATAATTTGGGATATTTAGTGGGTTCACTTGTTAAATTGCTAATCCTTTGTTTGTAAGTATTTGGGTACATTTATTATGCTCGTTCCAGGATGGCTGTTGATTCTTAAGTAATTATTAAATATAATTTAAAAATTGTTTAGAAAATTCATCAATGGTGACAAGCCAAAATGAGAAAAAGCATTAATAACTTTGCTGGAAATATTAGTTCATATTGGCCTGTATAAACCAATTCAAAAGCCACTCAACACTAGACCTTGCACTACAAGCAATACCTGAAAAAACTGCAAACTTTTCATTGATTTTTCATTAAAGTTCTTGAAGGTACACATGAGATTTCATTTCTGCTGAAAGACTTGCTGGTTCTTTAAAAATTTATTTTATCTTTTTAAACATCTGTGGCTTCACTATATCTATCCAAGATATAAGAATAGGGATGTGGAACAGAACCTCTACTAAAATGCAATCCTGTTAATTTGTGTTGTGACCAAAACAGATTTTTTGATAATATTATGTTTGCTGCTTATCAACTAATAGAAGGAAAACTATGTTGTATAAAGTAGAAAGTTTAACATTATGTTTCTTCTCACAACAGGATCTCGTTCTCATAGGAAACATGCCGACTCTGGCTGAATCACAAAGGCTTTAGTTTTTGCTCCGAGACAAACAGAAAATTGGGAATTAACTGTTAGTTATGTCCCAAGGCAGTTTGCTACATGTGGGTGTTACACTGTGAATTATTGTTGTTCAGATGGACTGTACTCTCATACTATTACAATTTGCCATTTTAGTATAGGAAGACTTGCTGATAAATTATGACAATCAAGCAAAAGTCTTGAGCATACAAATCAATATAATCTGCTAGAGTGCAAGCATAATTTAACCCCCTACTAATAAACCAACAAAAAAAAAATTAATCTTCGGAGGTCTGTAGGCCTGGCCACAAGTTAGCTGCATTTTTCCAATCCCAGAAGTATTAATTTATCATTATTTCTGGCCTTCCATCCTTGCGTCTCATGCTGAAGCTTCAATATCAGAGATTTTAATCTTTGCAACAGTTTTTTTTTAATTCGCTTGAGGGACATGGGCATCACTGGCTGGCCAACATTTATTGTTTGTCCCTAGTTGCCCTTGAGCAAGTGGTGGTGGATTGTTTATTACGGTACTTTATTAAATAGAAATACAGTGGTCTCATTCGCTTTTCAGTTCAAACAGACTGAATTTAATAAACAATATTATGTAAGTTGTAAAAGGTCAATCAGCAAAAATCCTTAAACTTTTCTGCTTTATATTACTTTTAGGAAAAGATTTATAACTAGTTTTCAAATCAAGTTTGTTCGAGCAGTGAATATTTTTATTAACTATAATTTTGGTTGCAGCGCTGACCACACTTGAAAAGTATTCATTGGGTTTAAGGTATACAAGTACTTGGGTGGGGTGCATGATGTAATTGCATAGCTTTCTGTAAATGTATTGTCCTTTTAAGGTTAGAATAATAATTGTTAGAAAATAATTACTAAATTGATCAATAAAATCTACCTGATGTGGACATTTATGATGTTTGAGGAAGAGAAACTGAAGTAGATTTCCAACTTGCTGCCTAGGCAAGAAAGTCTGTGCTTTGGATCAATGCCCACTATGGAAACAGCTTTTTTGTGTCTACTGTAGAAAAGATCAATATATTCCTTAAACAGAGGACCCTTTTTAACACCTGGGCACAAGTTGGAAATCTAATCCCACTATTTATGTATCATCATCGTGTCTCAATTTGTTTTCTATTAACTTGTTTGTCTAGGAGAAAGAAATCAAGTCCCTTATTGCTGAAATTGAGAGTTTAAAAAACCCTGTGATACTAGATTATTCCTTGGGACTGGGCGAGATGTTAGAGGAAAACACGAAACTCAAGTACCGTTTAAACGTTCTCAAGCGGGTGAGCAGTGTTTTAATATGAAGTCTTCTGACCCATTTGGAAAGCAGGCTAGTTGAATTGGAAGAAAAGATTTGGTGAGGGAGAAAGGAAAAATTAAAAGATGTTACATCATGGTGTGTACATCTGAGAGAATTTTTATTGGTAGAACATCACAGTTAAATACAAGTGAACTGTTAGCATGTTACTGAGCTCTAGAAAAGCAATTGAACTTTCAATTAGCCTGTTGTCCTCCATTCCATCCTGGAATATAATATTCGTCATTGATTGTGGTGTGTGCTGCTTTTCAGCCTTATTTGCATCTGTTGCAATGTTAATATTTCCTGCATATCCAGAGTTCAAACACTAACAGTAAAGTTTGGGCCTCCTCTGAAAGCGCTGGTAGTTAATTGAGGATCCACCTAATGATGCAAAATTGATTCCTGCTAAACTACCCTTACCAACACAAGTTGAACACTTCCACCTTCTAGTCGTGTAGTGGTCAGAAAAAATACTTCTAATTCAAAGAAGCAAGTTGTTTATAATTTGTTTGATTTATTTCAGAGTCTACAAGAAGAGGAGAGCAAAGTAGGATCCAGTATGATAAATATTAATCAGCGTCTACAGAACATTTTCAGTGTTGCCATCAAACTTGCCTATCCACATTTTGAAAACCCACCATTAGCAGTCACACCAAGCCAGCATGCCAGATTTGGAGATTACCAGTGTAACAGTGCCATGGCAATGTCTCAGGTATTGAAAAATTCTGAACACGATAACAAATTAACTTGGACAGGATAGGAGTAAAATACATTTGATGTTAGGTTTGTTTTTGAGAAATGCTTTATGAATGATGAAGAAAGTCAGGTGAAATAGTTTCTGTACTGCAGCAGAGAATGCCTTCATTCACTCATTCATAAAGTGCAGAATAACAGTATTGCAAGAACATGTCATGAAGAATGCTGTATAGCTAAAGACTTTGTTTCTCAATGCCAGAGAGAAATCTGGTAAAGATACTGCTTTGAAACATTGAACAACTCTTAAAAATGTGAAACCTCAGGCTAGTACTAAATAACCCATGCCATGCCATCATCTAACGTCACTTTCTCCAGCACTTACATTCACAATGGATTCCAGTTTTATTTTGAAAAAAAGGCAATATCAGCGTAGTTTGCAAGGAAAGCTGTGGAGAATCATGTTGAATTTTATAATTAATAAGTGGACTGTCGAGGAAAATCCAAAGGTACCCCATAGCAGATAAAACGTATCTCTTTATCACAAACCAAGGTGATGGGAACTTTCAACCTTAAATGATTTGCTTTGGTCCATTGGAGGACTGAAACTTCTGTTTGTTCATGTAAAGTCAGATTCATATTTACTCATGATTATTAAGGGGGCTTGCTAACTTGTATTTCACAGATGTTCTTTCTTACTTAAAGACTGCATCTAGCAATGCAATCTACAGCAACAATTTTTGTGTTTTTAACATGGTTGAACATCCCAAGACAGTTATTAACTGCATGCTGTAGGCTACCTATAATCTAAGAAATTTAACAGATTAACTGAGCATTAATTTTAATAAAAAGTAATTTTAAGTCTACAATATGTGAAAAAAGAGAAATTACACTAAAAGCTTTTGTAACCTAAGATATTGGCATTTCAAATAATGCTTCCATTATTAAAGGAAATAAATCAACATTATCTGAATCTGAAATCGAGGGGTAAGTAGTGTGGTTTGAGATTTTATTGGCACATTAGATACTTTGTGTTGCCTTTTAAATATTTTGGAGACAAAAATTTTAAAAATGGAATTTATATTTTGTCTGAAAGGAGTAATTTCCACAATTCGGTTAAAAGCTGTACATGTAGTTCAATATCTTTTTCTGCTGTTCATTCCATGCCCAATTATGCAAAACTGTATGGCAGTACAGCCAAGTAAACTTTTAAAAAAACAAAACACAGGTCAAACAACCAAGTGCATTAAACAGTTCAGGGTAAAGTCATGCCCTCCAAACATTTGAGCAAAACTTGGTGAAGCTGAAGTTGGCAAGCAGAAGCATTTGAGCATTATAATTATACTTATAACTTTTTCTGCCCAGTTTTACTTACTACCAGTGTAGATAGAAACAGATAGTGCAAGAGTGTCTTTTTTAATGAACAACTGGAGATCAAAAGCAAATTCATGCATTATTGTTCATAACAATGTTCTATAGAACAAGGATGTAAACCATTTCTTGTTTATGTGTGATTTTACAGCAATTGAAAGCCAAAGGGGAGAAAATTAATCCCATGGAAATTGCCAAACAAATTATCAATAACATTCCAAAAAATGATATAATTGAAAAGGTCGATATTGCTGGACCAGGTAAGTGTTATTTTTTGATCGAGTTGTTCTCTTTCAGCTCATTTCCTAATCTGTGCTATGTGAAAATTTTCTTTTACTAACTAGATAAATGAGGGTGAAAAAACCCTTCACTATAGTTAATCTCATCATTCCAGAGCCCTAACCGTAGAATCTTTCCCTTTAGCTTTCTAACCACTAACTGGAAAGTGAAATTAGATGCCAGATTAAAGTTCTAATTGAATGAAAGCATCTTGAGCAGTGCAGCCCATGTTGGTAATACACTGGCATGTCAGTCTGGAATATGTGTTCAAATCATGGTTTGATATGAAAGCTATCGCATTCTGTTTCAGGGCCAGACGTGCAGCAAAAGAGCTGATTAGATGTATTAGTTTCTTCGGTCATGTAGCATCCCCAGCTAACAGCATTTCGTAAAGGAGCTCCAGACAATCATAAAAGCTGCCTAAGCTGGGCCAAATCGGAACATCAAAAATGTTAAATTGTGAAGACAATCACAAAATGCACGATATGTGCTGCTTTTCACAT